ATTTATAAACATTTTGTGGGGGGGGGGGGGGGGGGGGGGCGCGCTGGCTGGGTCCCCTTGAATCCGCCACTGATCGTTCGATGCAGTGAGTTCCCGGCGTAACTCTTTCACAATGGACACCACTCTAGGCGTTTTTTTGCTGGTCATACCTAAAGTCACTTTTTTTTTTTTACAGAAATGACAAACCTGTATCTAAAGTTGCATATCAGGATTATGTAACTGAAGGTACACACGAGTATGCGACGTATAATGCTGTTGTCCAAAACCAGAAAACCACAGCTGACGAGGTTGTGTATCAAGATCTAAAAGATTACAATGAATACCTGTACCACAATACCACAGCAGTTGAAGTGGTGTACCACGATACCGCAGTTGAACTGGTACACCAGAATTTAGGTAGGCATGAAAAATGGTTTGAGGACATGATTTGAAGAACCTCTTTTACGTTGGTTTACTAACTGAAAAAATGTGAGGTGTTATAATGATAGTACAGAAATAATGTAAATATTATTTTTTAAAATCAATAAGTAAGAATACTCTCTAGTTAGGATGAATGATGTAACATTAGCTCCAGAATGTCCTTATTCTACTCCACAGACTAGAGAGTTACTTGTTAATTTTGTAACATAGGTAATCTATTAGTAACATAGGTAATCTATTAGTAACATAAAGGGGATCATAATCATAAAAGAGAGCTTGAAAGAGAGGTGGGAGCATTGTTGAACTGCCTGTAGTTCGGCACTTCGGTATTTATTATTGTAACGTTTTGAATAAAATCTACTAGTACATATTTTTTTTTAGCGTGGCGATAATATTTTAAGCGTGGTGCAATCTTTGCTTATTTTGCCTAAGCGTGGCGGTCATTTCGTCTTTTACAAGCGTGGCGGTCCCGCCACGCTTAAGTAGGCCTACAGCTGGCGAGACCCCTGTTTCAACTAAACGATTATGATTATCGTTTGATCACTTCTATGGTTGTCGTTATAACTATTCTGGGGCGAATCCAGAGATGTCCGAAAGGGGGCCGAAAGTGGGGCCGATCGGGACACTACCTTGTCCGGGGGCGTACCCCAGCATGTTTTTGTTTTCTAGACGCCCAAAAATAACTTCTGACGCGAATTGGGCGATCAATTATTTCTTTTTTCTTTCTTTCTTCCTTTTTTTTTAAACCTTCCAACAGGAGGGGTTGGGGCCGCCCCTGATTATGATCATGAATATAAATATCATTATCATTACCATTGTCATTATCTTTGTCACTGTCTCTGTCAGCGTCGTTATCGTTGTCGGTATTGCGGCATAGTCGTTGTTGTCATAATCGTTATCAATATCATTATTACAATTATTATTCTTATTATTCTTATTATTATTATTATTATTATTATTATTATGAATATATACTATATTTTTTATAGTAGTATTGTCAATATATTGTCATTATTAATATTATTATTATTATTATTATCATAAATATTAATATTAAAGATATTATTTTTTTTAATCAATACGAATTTATTTATTATTCATATCAAATTTACAATATTCCTTTTTCATAAAATTAGTGGTTTATTTAATATAGTACACCAGTATATCTAATAATAATATCAGTTATGTCCCACCACACATTTGTAATATATTTTGTAACATTAAAGAGCATTTCTGTTTTATAATTAAGGTTTAGAGCGCATACAGGGGCTGTGCTTTGTAAACGGAATTATTTTATTACAGTAATTATTGTAGGATTTACAGAATAAAAAATAAAAATAGTTCAATACATCCCCATAAAACCTAAAGAGTAATAAAGGTAATCTAGTAATTTCAAAACAACTAACTCTTTTACATTGGACACCATTCTAGGCGTTTGTTGCTGGTCAAGCATAAGTACGTTGGCACTTTTTTTACAGAAATGACAAACCTGTAAAGGTGAATATCAGGACTATGTAGCTGAAGATGTACACGATTATGCGACACATAACTCTGTTGTCCAAAACCAGAAAACTACAGCTGACGAAGTTGTGTACCAGGATGTAAAAGATTACAGTGAATACCTGTACCACAATACCGCAGCAGTTGAGGTGGTGTACCACGATGCCGTAGTTAAACAGTTGTATCACGATACTGGAGTTAAAGTGGCATACCATAATTCAGGTAAGCCTAAGCTCAAAAATGGGGCTGAGAACAGAATTTAAATGCAAGAATCATTTTACGTTGTTCTACTAACTAAAAATAAGATGCGAGATACTACATTGATAGTCTAGAATTAATATAAATTTGAAAACCATTTTATTTTGTAAGAATACCGAGTTTGCCGAAACCCAGTTTGTCGAATTTTTTCGTCACCGCCGTACGAAAGTACAGCATGCTGTGCTTTAGAATAATTATGGGAGGAACAAAAAGAATGATTTGCCTTGATTTTTCCGCTGGTGCCACTACGGTATTTCGTACACATGCAGTCATGGAAAGGTATCCATCGTGAATTGTACACTGTTTTTAATGTTTCACTGCTTTTAATAGACTTTTGTCAAAGTGGGTTTCGGAAAACTGGGATTCATGATTTTTGAGTCGGCAAAACTGGGTGTCGACAAAACTGGGTTTCGGCAAAGTGGACTCGGCAATCTGTGTTTTGACAAACATTTCTAGATCTCTATTATTGGATATAACTTTCATTCAAAAATTTCGGGCACTGTCCTTCTTTAAGTAGAATAGAATTACAAAAAAACATATACTGTGTGTAACACTACAGTAATAAATACTCGATACATACATTTCTGACTTTTGCTAAACCTTTTTCCGAAAATTTGGTTGGTTATCCGAAGTGTGATTCACACCAAAATATTTTGATACTCTATTATATTTTGTTATCATATCTTACCAGACGTTGACAGAAGTAAACGAACTGGAAACCGAAAAGGAATTGCACATGCCATAGTCGGTGGTCAGACTTCTCCAACATTAAGTCACAAAGACACAGACCGTCACCAGAAAGTGACCAGTTCACCGGACTGTGTCGAAAACAGTGTTCGCGATTCCGAGAGCCGAGGAAGAGGGAAAGGAAGTGAGTTTCACTTTAGCGATGATTACAGTGAAATTAATACATGTATGCCAAATGAGAACAAAGACGAAGAACCAAATTATTATCTGCAAATAATTGGTTGAAATCATCGGGATGTTTTGCCCATAGATGCCTGGTGGCTGAAAATGCAGCGTTTAATGATTTGAAATTAAATTAACTGTAATTTAGTATAGTTTGCTGTAGAGCAATATTGACTGAATCAAAGCCATCTTATTTAGATTGTGGTAGTATTTAGACTGTGGTTGATTTATCGGCTATTGTTTGGACTGACCATTATAATCATTTAGATGTGTATAAGAGACAGGGCCGCCCCTGATTATGATCATGAGCACATTGGTGACATTTATTGTATTGAAACTTTTAGCAGATTAACCAATGAAAAATATTTACAATTATCTTGTATATTAGTTTTGTTTACTTAAGCTAAATAAAATTAAATGGATCACACCTAATTTCATAGACTATGTATGGCTGTGACCTTGTTAAACACACACCTTTTAATAATCGTTCACTTAAAAACGAATGCACGAGTACAATTTGAAAATTCAAATCAGATGCGAATGTGAAAATGTTAATATATATTTCAAGCACAATTAAAGAAGGCACAACAGAATAGAAAACCCAAAATTGTATTCACACACTTGTAACTGGCGATATTGAAAAAAAAAATGGCATGTTTATCTAAAAATAGTAACCTTGATGTTCATATTTTCGGTACTAGGCTAAAAAACTAGACTAATTGCATCACGCCATATCGCAAAATCTCAATGTTCCATTATAAATAAATCATTAATAAATGGTAAGGTTCTAAACGATTGGAAAGTATCAATGACTACCCCTATATACAAAGGTAAAGCCCTAACAATAATTATAGACCAGACTCAGTGGTATGTAACAAGCCAAATTTGTTGAAAAAGAAGTCCAAGATCAAATTATTACAAACCATGTACCAATATGCTATGCTATTATATGCTCTCATCGTTTATGGATCTTCTAATGGATGCTGGGGCGGATGCAGGATTTGGCGGAAGGGGTTGCATGAGAGTCCACACAGTGTTTGAACATTAAATTTGAGAATATGGACCTCAGGTGCCCGAAAATTGCACTCTCATCCATTATAAATTTTACCGGTAATTAGCTATGGGAATTGAACTGGGGACCCTACAGATCTCCACGGTTCAGTGCACATACAGTGGCTACCACCAGATTAGACGACTGAGCTGAGCTGCTCTCAACAATTACCGTATACAATACAACAATTATTCTTAATGCAATTTAGGGGAGTGTGATCGCACCGTCTGCAGCCCCACGTATCCCCAGGGATTCTATACCTAATACTTTGTTTAGTATATTGGTTTATTACTCAACGATACGATTTTCATGTATAGAGGTGAAATGCCGAGAGACGTGAACGCTCATTTCTTGGCCCCTTGGCTGGAAGGAAGCAAAAGTGAAATGTCACCCCTAAATCAATCGGAATTGGCATACCACATGGTGGTGTCTTGGGTTCAATTTTATTTTTGTTATTCATAAATAATGACATTTAAAAATTGATTTTCTTGGGACTATTCAGGAACACAAGTTGATAGATTAAATACAAAATTACAAATATTTGAGAAAATATTGGTAAAATTTACCAATATTTTCTATTTTTTTTTCAATATATTTTTTTTTCATATGGTATGTCGGAAATAATAATAACATAGGAAAATTGGCCGAAACATTGCACCAATCGCTGCTTAGTATTATAAGCACAATCGAACCAAGTACCTATTATGAAATTTCGGTTTTGAAAAAAACACATCCGAGAAAGATATATTGTAAAAAGACTGCAAAAACGTTCAGCAAGAATTATATAAACACAATTTTGATAACAAAAACTGTTTTGGCGAAAATATAATTCGACAGCTAATTTCATGTTTTTTGATGTACAAATGCTAGGCCTATATGACATTCCCCACACCTTCTCGTTAATATAACGAAATTGAAATGATTTTCGATCGACATAGAAATTCAAAACTCAAAGACTTTGAATGTTGTTACACTAATTGTGTCATAGGGGCCTAGTCATGTATAAGTGACTATTTTAACAATTTTAAATTATTAATATTCAGTATTACATTGAAGAAAAATACTATCAATCGAGATTTTTATTTATGCATTTGCTTATTATATTTAAGGGGGTGGAGCCGTTATAGATCGGGGACCCCTGGAGGTCGGGGCCCAGGTTCAATGAATTTGCTGAACATGCGGTAGTTACGCTACTGGTATCAATCGACTGTCTGCAGTGTCGGTGCTTTGGCTGGTCTTGTTTCTTTTCAAATGATTCCCCCTCCCCACTTTTTTAAAACTATGTACTTTATCAAGTATTTAACCTCTGGAGACATGACATTAAAATGTTCAACAAATCATTGTTTTAAAGGCTGAACTAGGACATTTGTATCCTAATTAGAATGTACCGGTATGCAAATATTTTTTTCTGGCAAGGGGTTTTCGAGATACAGTATGGCAAAAAACAATAAAAATAAAAGGAAATAGTGCCCACATTTTGGCCAAAATCCCATTACCAAACTTTCCATTTTATTTCATGAGGTTGTTAAGCAGCAAATTTGCCTAACTTAGGATAGTTTTAAAATGTCATGAATTATTCATAATCATTATAGAACGTATTTTGCGCATGCGCTGTTTTCAAGCCTGCGTCACCCTCAATGACCAGCACGGTTCTGTGCATCGCTCGTGAGCATAGCGAGTAACTGCAGCATAGTAACTCAGTGTTCGGTTTTGATAGATTTTATAAGGATAGAACGACACATGGTGCTTTGTGGGTGTGTAGGCCTATCACGATTTAATCGTTGTATGAGTTTAAGCATGGAGTAAACTAATTCCTCCATGGTTTGAGATAGGTAGGCCTAGTTCCTATTTTAAGTTTTACAGAAATTCGGACAGTAGGCCTACCTATAATCAAGAATAAATTACCGTCTTTAGAAATGCATATGAGCCGGGATATGAAATGTTTACACTGAACAGCAAAACCTTAATAGAAGAATCACTTAATTTTAATCATTTTTTATATTTTCGTATTTCAAAATCACACTAAACATATTATATATCTTAAACGATTGTAGCTTAATTGTAGTCCAAGAGAGCTGAAACTTATTATGAATGTATATACACGCAGCACACATCTTTTACCACGGTTGAAACTCGATCCCAGGTGAAGAGAGGCAGTGTCTTGCCTAAGGACATAGTTACGGGGGATACCCTAATTATCACAGGACAGTGTTGGCGTCAATACACCAGTCCTACTATATCATAGTAGGCCTAGGCCTAGCTTAAACCTCCAGTCAATTTTACGAAAATATTCATCGCCTGGTCTGGGCCTCTTATAAATATAAAAAAATTGTCTTACTAATTTGGCGTAATCCAAAGCAGGTGATTCTTACGATGGCCCACAAAGGACACGCTGCAAATAAAAAGAAATGCTGCAAACAAAAAAAGGAATGCTACAAACAAAAAAGAAATGCTGCAAACAAAAAACAAACGCTGCAAACAAAAATGCTGCAAACAAAAAAGAAATGCTGCAAACAAAAAAGAAACACTGCAAACAATAACGAAATTGTTAGGCAACATATGAAAAAGTAAACTAGAGAGGGCAGCACACACCTTTTCTGGAATATCAGACAGTAATTCCAGCCAGCTAGTGTCACTAACAACAATGACCTGGATCCAAACAGAATGGCCTCATAGGAGACAGTTAGGATCCAAGGAGGTTAAAACTTTCTTTTTATTTTATGCCTAAAGCAGTTGATTTTTTCCTGCCAATCCAAAATAGTTTCATCCTTGTCGACTTGGCGATCGGTTAGAGCAGCGTTCCGCAAACTTTTTACTTCACGGTCTATTTACGATTCCAGGCACCAAGCCGCGGCCCGGCAGCCCAGCCGCGCCAGGGACCAACATACCAAGTCTTGGCAAGAACTTTTGATCATGAAGCCTCCTTGTATATACAATATTTGGACATCATTATCTGTTCTCTCAGTGATAACATTTTACTGTATACAAATTAAATATTATTTTATTAAATAAATAATACTGTACATCTGTATAACAATTGTTGATTGATTTTTCTTTCTACCAATCTTCAACCAAACACGGTTCAGCCACACACGTCATAGCAGGGCCGTAGCCACGAGAAGTGAAATGGTCAGGTTGCTAGCGAAGCGCGAGCACTGATGATTGGGGCTAGGGGGCTGCCAAGGGCCTCCAGGTCGGGGTTCAGGTTTCCGGGGCCATTAAACTGTAATATTATTGTAAACAATTAAACTGTAATATTATTAACATTAAGCCATTAAACTGTAATATTATTAACTAAGACCAATCAACGCATAACATAAAACATGTACATATCAACATTATTATGTTTAATCTTTCCTCGTCGGTGCTTGCATAAAACGTGAGTTGGATCTAACATGATGATATTGATAAACAATCGAAATTCTCTGTACAATATTATGCTAAACATTTACAGAGTGGACGTCTTTATG